TTCCTTTTCGACTTTCAGAGGCTCTTAAAGATATGTTCTCCTTGGTTTCCTTAAACTTTAGCTAATAATTAAGACACACATAGAAATAATACCTACAGTCCCTATGCTTATAATAGCAGCATAATAATTAGGAACAGAAGTTCTGGAAATTGATACATATTTCACATCGCACTATGTGTCTAACTATATTTCATCTAACTATGTGTCTTTGCTCAAGTTAATAACCTCCACGCCTTCTTATCTATGAGGCTGAATAAGAATGATCCTCTCATAGAGTTGTTACAAATATTAAATAAATTAGTGTACAAAAAGCTCTGAACACAGCAACTGGTATGTAATAAACTCACAGTAAATATAGAAAACTGAAATAAAATATTTTAGTTGGAAAGACAGTCGAGGAAAATAATGTTCTACAATTTAAGCATTTACAGAGTTGTATTGAGATCGTATCTTACCAAATCTGAATCCTGGATATGCTTAAAATTTTTTTAAATCACTATCAGTAATGGGCACTAGTGATGAGACAGTCAAAACAAAACTCAAGAAGGAAAGCACAGTACCCTGCATGGATGTTAAGCAAGGCTATTTTTGACTCACTAATCTAAATGTAGAATACTTAACCACTATTCATCAAATTTCTTTCTTTATTTGGAATTTTCCTATATACCATAGAGAGTTCTGAGACAAAAACCTGTTGGAATTTATTAACATGCCATTATACGTAGTGGCTTTCTTTTGTAATAATTCTCCAAGGCTTTTCCAGTCTCCCTTAGGGAATATCTCTGGTCTCTCTCTCTTAACCTACAATATGAATTTCTTATAATAAGTCTGAATACTATTGGTCCTATTTATGAGTTATTTGAAGGAAAGACCCAGACCCTGTGTTTCCTTCCAGTAGATGAAGAGATTTGCACTCCTCATTCTACCAGCCATCTGTTTGTAGGGATCATCATGGCATCCATCTCTGGTGTCTCTTATGGATTCTGCTCTTTTTCCATAAAATACATGAAGAAAATTACCCAGTAAAATACATGTGAATTAAAGAGACGTTGTTTCTAACAGATAATTATAAGACAGTCATGCACCAAATAATGGCATTTTGGTCAGTGATGGACCACATATATGAGGTGGCCTCGTAAGTTTAGTACCAGATAGCCTAGGTATGTAGTAGGCTATTCCATCTAGGTTTGTGTAAGTACACTCTATGATGTTCACACAATGATGCAACAACCTAAGGAGGCTTTTTTCAGAACATATACCCATTGTTAAGTGATGCATGACTGTAATTGGAAAAAAATCACCTCACATTAAAAAGAAAAGATTTAGTTGATCTGGAATGTATGAAAAACACACTTGTACATATGTACTCATATATCTCTTTAAATTCCTGTAGAATGAAACCATCTATCTAAAGAAAATGGGAATTCATTCACAACAAAAGTTAATATGGTTCCAATGTGACTATTTTCTGTGATATATTTTGTTCCCAGATGTATATTTTATCAAATATATTTTTCTTTTCATGAATAAGGAAGTCAATAAGATGAACAATACTCCACTTGTATTACAATAGTTCCTGCAACTAAGTCAAATGATGATGATAGACTAGAGTACTATTTTGGAAATAGTTTAATGACATAAATATGATAGTAACACTATATAACGTGGTCCTTACGAGATATTTTAACTTTAGATTTTAAATACTTGGAGGAAACCATTGCTTCATATAAACTTTTGTGACCTCCCTAAAACTTACTATTGTCAACTCAGTGTTGGTTGCATTTAATCAAGTAAACTTTATATGAAATTAATCTTAGGTAAATGATACTTTTAGAAACTTTTTTGTACTCTTTGGGAAATGTTAGCTTGAATCTTTATTATATTAAGAGAAAAGACAGAAATCATGACATGTTAACTAGCTGTATTTTTAACTATCGATGCTTGTCTATTCTTTATCAGATCTTTCTATCAGAAAGAATTAATATTGAAAATAATTTATTCTTAGTTTCCAAAGATTAGAAATCATTTATTTTTAAGTTTCCTTTAGAGAGGTTGCATGGTAACGTACAATGAGTTTAAAAATATTGATTATTTTTCAATGCTACATCAATTCAAAAGTTCACAATCAACTCCCAACTCCTTTCTCTCAGAATGGGTGCCAAGCAAATAAAGACCAACAACAGATAATAAGTCAGTCCTTTAAAAAGACATCTGAACACAGCTTATTGTCTATTCACAAACAGATTAAAAATGTTATTTACTCAAGAAACTCAAGAAGTTATACAAGTACTGGAGAACTTCTTTGACATTAGTATTTCATAGATACTTTCCTTTATGTTATTAATGAAACTAATACCTAATTTAGAGTTCTACAATAGAATGTAAACTTTGCCATCTCATGCCCTACCGACATTTTTTAAATGGCAATTATTGTCAAGACAAAGAATAGAACAACATTCCAAATAAAACCAATTTGGCAAATCTACCAACTTATGAAGTTTTGATGCTTTCCAAAATACAACCCAATCCTCTCCCTAATAATGGTGTTAGTTCAAAAAAGAGAGTAGGAAAAATAATTCCTATAACAACCTATCATATTTTAATAGGCAAAAATGCAAAAAATCAAATATTTAACCAAAACATCTCCGTTTACAACCTTCTCATAATTAAATGTGTTATGAAGAGCTGAGCACTTAATATATAAAATGCATTCAGTAGATTGTTAAAAAGACATCGACAACTTTATAGTCATTAAAAATACGCAAGAAGATTTCATAATATCAACCTTTCAGACAGAGACCACCAAATTGATTTCCATGAAGTTGATGAGCTGAGCTCAAAGTTCAGTTACAGATGTAAATGATCAAATATGCACTATTAGATGAAATTACAAGGACAATAATTGTCAAGTATTATTTAACATCTAACTTTGCAATTCAATTTTTTCTGTATTTGCCATGAGGCATGTAACCTTATGGTTGAATTGATTTATGACTGAGAGATAAAAACAATGTGTGTGTGTGTGTGTGTGTGTGTGTGTGTGTGTGTGTATGTGCATTCTGTTAAATGGTTTGGTTTTGTTTCTGTATGAAAGTGCCTTACCTTTGGTTTTTGATGTTTCTCCTTCTCTGAAGCATTCGATGGTTTTCTCTTCAGCATTTTGAATTCGATTATTCCAAGTGAGTGTACTTTCTGTTGTTCCAGAAACAACTGAAGACAGCAGTGTGCCGTCTATGATGCACAGCTGCAGATAAGTTTGAGCCCAGTGACCTGCTACTTCCTCCTTTGGTCAGGATATGACTTCACATGAACACGGGTGAAGTTTTGTTTTTTTACAGTAATTCTTTGCTAACTCTTTCACACTCTGTCCCTGCTCGAGTCTATGAGGTAGATTCCTAAAACCCACACTTCAACATGCCTGAAGTTCTCATAAGGGCTGTAAGGATTTCAGAATAAAACTCATTTGTTTTTAGTTTCTATAAAAAGAAAAATCTATAACATATTCTGAGGGTAGAGGGAAGAAAAAATCTGAGCCAAGAAATGAAATATAACTCTAGATATGGGCTTTTTAGTATTCAAAGAATGAATACTCAGGGTAGGCAATTTTATATTTCTAAGTAAACTTTGTTAGAAGATGAACTAAACTAGACTTTATATAATACTAATCCTATTTAAAGTATGTATCCATATACTCAAAACATAGAGTACAGATGGAATTCATATAAATATAAATGGGAATACAACTCCAGAAGCAAATGATTATGCATATTGTTAATTTTTTTAACCGATTACTATGTGGTAAAGCCCTGATTAATATGGAAATCAATTAAACAGAACCAAATGTCTCATTTATCTCAATTAACCAAATGTCTTTCTGCTACAAACTACATTGCCATATACTGATAATTGCTATTCCAGGGAGGAGCCAATGGATGAATGGTTCCTTCAAATGAAGCATCCAGAGTCTCTATTTAATAGGCCTGGAATAAGCTATTACGGCTTAGAAAGACTTTCCTCATCAAACTAAAGGGTTTAACATTTGTATTCTAATATCAAAACCAAGATACCAGAAAGTAAAAGCAAGAAATTCAAGGTTTTTGTTAATTAGGGATTTACCGAAGGGAGACTTGTGGAATGTCTAAAACTTTGGTTCTATTAGAAGAGGCTTGTTAAGGAAATCAACCTAGATTTCTGTTTATAAAACCCCTTGTTGAAAAGCAGTGGTCCCACATTCTTGATGAGCAGCATCTCTAGGTAACAAATCAAGTGCCTCTATTTCACTGTCTTCCCTCATACCTCTAAGCCTCTCCTCCTTGAGGCCCAGTTCTAGTGTGTTTGAATTTCACTAATTCATTTAACAAATATTAAATTGAGTGTCTACGATGTGCTGTTTGACAATAATCAAGTCTCTTGACTAGCTAAAAAAATTCTTTATGTTCTATAATAGAATTGGAGGAATACACTTGTCAAGATTATGGTTAATATGCTTCTTCTACTAGATATTAAAAGAAGAATTATATTTTTAGGAATTATCAGGGTAGTATTTTTAAAATAATGACACAGAGAATAACAGGGAAAAACCTGTGGACTCTGAGGGTGCGTAATTCCCTAGAAGTACGCTTTCTTTCAAACTTTCTGTTTGTGTTTTGGTCAAGGCAGTGGCCTGAGCAAATTTTTGTTTCATTTCTTCAGAAATTGAAAGTCATGAAAAACTATATTTCTTAACTGAAACATTTGCATCCTCTGTGGCCCCCATTTCTTCATTTGTGAGTAGAAATTTAATTCACTTGTGGAGTTCAATCAATAACATGGGAATGATAATACTTGCACTTACTACATGATAGGGTTGTGGTGAGAATAAAAGATAATACCAGTAAAGAACGTACTTACTATATGATTTATCATTTAAATAATGTTTTATGTCAAGGAATGTTTATCTTAAAGAAGAATGAGATTTCAAATAGTTATGTTTGGGCTGGTGTTTGCTATAGATTATATTTCTATAATGATAATTAAAGAATAAAGAACACTCACACTCATGGTGATCATAGCTGGACTAGATGCAGTTTTAAAAAGTGGTCCACTCAAGCAATTTGTATAAAATCTCAATTTATGATCTCTAGGCATTTAACCATCATTAACACTATAAGAAATATTAAAAATGTAAATAAAACTGGAATCGTTTCCTTCAGAATTACAGGTGGGAGAAGCAATAGTCCAATCTTCTCTTCTACTCAAGAAAAATGTTTCTGGAGATTAAAAGACAGATATGACATTTGAGGTCTCATTACAATCTATGTTAAAGCCCTTGATCCACAAAAAATCTCAGATGACAAGGTAGCAAATGTTTTTTATCAATTATCTACTATTTTATAGAATTCTGGGGTCATCAAAATATTTATTGAGTGATTCAACAAATTTGAAAGTAAAGTAGACAGAAGAGGAATGAGGTAGACAGTCAGTATTGAGCACACCTAACACCCTATCACGATTAAACCACTAAGCCACACGTTGCTTAAGACATGTTCTGAAACAGGGAAATTGCAAAAGGGAAGTCTCAGGGCCTTTTTTTCACACACTACCTTAAAGGTCTTATAACCCAGGCAGGGGGAAACAAGTTTGGGACTCTGTGGCGGTCACTATTTCTGCGTCATAGAGGGTGAGTCAAAATTTTAAAGAAATTGCACTCAAATGACAGCTATTGCAATGTACTGTATGAGAAGGTAAAGTGAGCTATAACAGAGTTGTTTGAGCAGTCCAACAAATATTTATTGGTGGATTGCTAAAACATGAATTTTCAAATTCAAATCCTAGGTATCAATAAAGTATAGATAAGAGAAAATGCTGTCTGATGTTTTTGATTCTGACATCTTGATTGCCCAATGACCTCCATCTATATCCATTTGCTTCCTGCCATCAATTGAAGAATAAAATTAGATAGTGATGTTTGGATTAATCCTAGCCTGTACTTTATTTTAAGATACATTTGTTCAGCGGATGAAGGGTTTTTAGCCAAATCTTTAAAAATGGAACTGCGATCCCCACACTGCCTTGATATTTACACCTTCTCCAACATGTGGACATAGTCACAGTAGATCTTATGCCTCTGTGTATCGGGGCAAACATGACCAAGAGTATTTTAGTAACTATAACCTAAAATACTCCTGACTATGCCTCAAATGCATTGTTGGAGGAGGATGACAGAAAGACACCTTCCAAGAACTTGAAAAATAAGGGAAGTAAGACTGTTATCATGGAACACAACTGCGAAATTAACATTTAATGTAAAACAGAATAATTATCTTACAGAGAAAGAATGGATTGTACCCCATTCAGACCTACAGAATTTAGTCACATATGATAAAGAGAAGAAGGAGTCAATCATAAAAGCAGCTTAACTTTGATAGTAGCTCTCTTCTTTCTGGCACCTCAGAACAGACTTTTCTCTACAGAATGGGGAAGGGAAATTTATAGGAAGAAGTCCAGTGGGGGTGTTATGTTCTTGCCTGCTTGTGGCTTGCTGTAAGTGGAGATTCTACACTATAATGAAAATCCTAACCCTACTCAGGATATCTTGAAGCAAATACACACTGGGATCTGATGAAGTACTATGCAGTTCTTTACTCAATAATTCAGAGGGTAGTTTCAAAGCCATATAGCCATATACAACATATCAGGTGTTGTACCCTCCTCTAGATATCTAGCTTATTCTTACCACATGATGGATAAAACACCTCCTTCTTTAGACTTGGGGTTTACAGAGAAATGGTAGGATGGATATTCCCCCAGGCCTGGGATATGGGGATGTGGGAGGTGGGGAAGACTATGGGGGAATGATCGCTTCCCTGTCAATCTCTTACATATCCTAGCTCTCTGGAGTCAGTTACCCATTCTCTGATTCTGGAGTTCCTATTTACTAAGCCTTTTCTGTAAGGGACCCACCCCCTTCCCCAAGCTCTTAAAATCCCTTCTAATGTCCTCCTAATTGAAAAGCCTTACAGTTTCTTTTCTGCTTTCCCCAGTGACCTTGTTTAGGGAATGACAAGCTCAAGTTTTGAGGAGAAGATTGAGAGAAGAGAAAATTCTGACCCTATTAACGGGGTGTAAAGAAGATGGGAGTTATTGAGGTTCGTTTTTCCCAACAAGGCCTGAAATTAAGTATATCTATCACAAGGATTAATTTTCTTCCAAGAACCCTTATCAAGTCTATATAAGAAATTAATATTTCACCTATTAATTTCCCCTTGTGACACGGCGCCTTGCTAGAGCTTCATTGCAGAGTTCTCATACATTCACTAACAGTGGGGGGTGATGCCAAACCACTTAAGAATGTATGGGAGAGTAACAGAGGCAAATATTGATAGTATCCACTCAAGCTGCTGGGTTCAAGAAAGAGATGCTTCAGTGAGGTCTGAGATTTTAATTCTCCTGACAAGATAATCCATTATGTGGAGATGGATGTATTAGCAATTTTAGCTGGATTTCAGAAAACAACAAATTTGTCTAAGTAATTTGTTTTGATTTTAAACTCTAAGAGTAACCTTCTAATGATGACTTGATGGTTTAGGTATGTCTGTCTCCAGGAGGAGAAGGCATTGTTCATATGGATATCAAGTATAACCCTGAAATTGCTATTTCTCACTACAAATTAATATTGCCATGGTAGTTAATCAGAGTGTGTCCCAAAAAAGGCTCAAAATACTAGGCTCCTGAGAGAGGACAGTTGCCGGTCAGGCCCTAAATATCTTGGGAAGCCTCTTGGGAGAAAGCTTGGCCCTTGCAACATTATTTCTTATTTTAAATTTCTAAAGAGATATTCATCATATTATCTTGTTATCTTAGTTGTAGAAGAAATAGAGAATATAAATAAATAAAAAGGACCAGTGGTCTAAGATGGATGGTGAACCTAAAGAATCATACAGGAAGAAACAGTCTTGAAAGAGACAAAGGACTTCTCAGATCACGTCTATGGATGGCAAGATGTTTGAAACACTGTAAGAGAAGACTTAGTAAACAAAAAATGAGGAGTACCAGTTCAACGGAGACTAAAACAATTACGGGAGCAGATTAAGCTCAAATAAATGCAAATTATTCAGATTATTTCAGTAAATTATAAATACATACTAAGTGGTTGCCACAATAAGTAATGAAAAAATAAAATTTCATCTATTAGTGATTAAAAGTTACAATGTTCATGAAATAATCTTATTCTCAAAGTTAATAAAAGTAATATTGGCTAGCACTTTTGAGTGCTTATTATATGCCTGGCATTATGCTGTGTGCTTCATACATATTTCCCATGTAATCCTTAAAAATCTCCAGGAGCTGGTACTAATGTTATCAGCCTCAATTTCCAGGTAAGGTTACATAATGTGTCCAGTTTGCACAGCTAGTAAGTGGTGGAGTCAGGATTTAATCCAAAACCTCAGCTCATAAACATTGCTCTATATCACAGTTATGCCTTGGCATACCTAAACACCTGGCATAAAGTGGGAGTGATTTATTTGGGGGTTAGGGTCAGGAATGGTAGGGGCTGGGGAGAGGATAATGCTGAGCTACCAGTTGAACAGAATGTTTCAATTACGTGTATATAAAAATTTGAAACCAATCTAGGACCCTCTTCTTTCATTAAGACTCAGCACCACAGGGACAAACCTGCTACCACTTCCTTTCCCTTCTCCAACCCAAGCTACCTTGTTGTGACTCTAAGAAGAGTCAAGAGCCCCTCAGTGCTGTCTTTAATAACCATTTTCTCTAATTCCATGCTTATAAAAATCATGGTATGAGCACAGATTAGACTTGTCCAAACTTTATGAAATTCCCTAGGTTCTATATTTCCCTGATGATGGCTTTCGATAAAGTATCCATCTATGAACTGATATTATCTGTGAAGTTACTGCAACAAACATATTCTATTTCCTCCTTGATCTGGAGCGATAGCTCCCCAATTTATGTTTCTAGAAAAGTATTTATTTTCCTCTTAACCTTTGACTCTTAATTTCACCAGTTTTGGCTTGTCCATGTCACATCCAAATTATGGTCATAATCCTCACATTCTTATAATACTTTTCCCTTCTACACTTCTAAGTGTGATTTTAAGTTTTGTAAAAATTAAAACGCTTACCCTAAAATATTAAAAAACAGAAGCTCCCTATCACATTCCTTTCTACTCCCAGACTTCCTATTTCAATTCTTTTTCTGATCCTTCCAGTATTAAAACCATTTTTCTCATTGGTTAGATTCATTTTTCTACATGATAGGCCTGTACATTTTTCATTTATGTATTAGACATTATCTATTGATTCCTGGTTTTATCCTTGAGGACTCTGTACTCTTTTTACTCCCCAACGCTCTTATAATTATTTAGTTAAATCATTAGTCATTATTATTTTGTAAATATTGTTCACAAATAAGTCAAATTGTGTTTAGAGCTTTATATTTCTTTTGTTGTCATCTTTGGCGTTCATAATCGGATTCCTTTTTCATGGTTGGTCCCCTATGTTTTGTTAATATATCCCAAATAAATGCCCCCCAACAAATCTATCAATTGACTTGTTTTGAATATTCAAGTTCACATACCATACTTGTAATTTCAAATGCTCAAACATTTCAGATTTATTTTTTCCTTGTTCCAGTGTGGTTTGGTTATTCTCTAAGTATGCAGTGCTGAGGCTGAAATGGAACTTCTCCTCAATCTTCTCTTGGTTTGGATCCTCTCTGAATTGAGTCTCACATCATCTTTTTTGTCTAATCTCATTTCCAGAAACATGCCTCCCTAATGGAAATGTTCTAGGTCCTTGTGGATTATTCACATTTGAATGCTATTTTTACTTGAAGTAGAATCCTAACCTCATTTTTTCCTTAGAATTTGGAAGACCTCTCCATTATTTCCTAGCTTCCAGAGTTGTTGAGAAGTCTAATGTCATTGTGATTTCTAGTTTATTGCGTATGGACTTCTTTCTCTCTATATACATATTTTTCCCTTTATTCTTGGGATGTCTAAAATGTCATATTTTGTGTCTTGATATGGGTTATTTTTTCATTCCCTGTACTGCTCTCTCCATGGCTCTCTCAAACTGAAAACACACAACCTCACATCTGTGTTTCTTTGATAAATTCTTCATCTATCCTTCTCTGCTCTCTCTTTCTAGAAATCTGTTTAGTCCAATGTTAGACATCCTGGATTGGTGCTCTTATTGTATCATATTTCGCTGTTTTCCACTTTTTTATTTTCACTTTTTGGCTTTGGGTTTTTTTTTTTACTTTCTAGGAAATTCCATTACTTTTTCTACCAATTATTCTAATAAATATTTTATTTTACTTAACTATAATATTTTATTTTGCAGTTCTTTCTCATTGTTCCCTTTTCATAACATTGTCTTTTTTTTTTAAGATTGGCACCTGAGCTAACGCCTGTTGCCAATCTTTTTTTTTCCCCTGCTTTTTCTCCCCAAATCCCCCTAGTACGTAGTTGTATATTTTAGCTGTGGGTCCTTCTAGTTGTGGCATGTGGGATGCCGCCTCAACACGGCCTGATGAGCGGTGCCATGTCCACACCCAGGATCCAACCAGCGAAACCCCGGGCCGCCGAAGTGGAGCGGGCAAACTTAACCACTCGGCCATGGGGCCAGCCCTTGTCTTTATAAAAAATATAGCAATAAAAATTAATGAAATCAGTTGACATGCAACAATATGGATGAACCTTGGAAATATAATATTAAATGAAAAGAAGAGTTCTAAAAATAATTACTGATAGCGGGGCTGGCCCCGTGGCCGAGTGGTTAAGTTCCCGCACTCCGCTGCAGGCGGCCCAGTGTTTCGTTGGTTCGAATCCTGGGCTCGGACATGGCACTGCTCATCAGACCACGCTGAGGCAGCGTCCCACATGCCACAACTAGAAGAACCCACAACGAAGAATACACAACTATGTACCGGGGGGGGCTTTGGGGAGAAAAAGGAAAAAAATAAAATCTTAAAAAAAAATAATAATAATTACTGATAGCATTATGCTCTTTTTTAAAAAAAAAACACATACACAGTTTAAAAAATAAAATATAGGAATGAGGAACATAGCACTTAGTATAATGATTTACTTGGTTGGAGGAAATCAGGAGGATAAGATGGGGGGTTGGATAGATATAGACTATTTTTGAGGTCTTAGCTTTCATTTCAGGGGTGTATTTTAATAATAATATGTCATTGAAACTAACTAAAGAGAAGTGGGCCTTGAAGAATATTCTGTTCTTAATTCTTGGAAAGGCAGTAAGATGCAGTGGGTAAGAGGGTGGACTTTAAGCAGACTAGCGGGGTTCAAATCCTGGCTCTGCCATTTACTAGGACGTCCTCGGCGAGTTACTTAGCCTTTCTATAAAACGGACATGATAGAAGCGCCCACCTCAAAGTGCTTGCTATGAGGATTGAGGAAGTTGCCATTAAAAATTTAGTAGAAAAGTGCCTGGCATGTACTAAACACTAACTAAGAACTAAATAAATACATGGAATATCTTCCATTATCTTTCTGAGGTTAATATATCATTTTTATAATTTTCCTTTTGTCCCTCTCGTGACCTTTGTTTCTTTCCGATTTTTTTATTCTCTTTGCTTTGATCTCTTTCTTCTTTGAGTCTTTCTTCAAATGTCCAGTGATCCTTGGCTGTTGATACCTCACTAAGAGCATGGCGTGAAAATCCTGACTAGAAGCTCTGTGAAAATGGGGGGCTTGTTAGGTAATGAGGCAGCAAGGCAGCTTTTCATCAGAAGAGCCCACATGGCAGTTTCTGGAGTTCTGTTCTCTGAGACCATTCAGGTTCTGTAGGTAATAATCCTCTGACGTCCTGGGAGGGCTGTGGAGGGAGGGAGTAGCTTCCTCACAGCCTTCAAGTGCTGAGGCTCTCAGGGGTCGTGGGGGCACACCGACTCACTTTCCTGCAGGTTCTGAGACGGCCACTTGCTCCAATCCTCCATTCACCTTCCATCCTCCCAAACACTAGTGGGAAACTCTTCTCCTATCCTTTTACCAAATATCTTTGTCTCTGTGGGTTTGCATCTCTTTGGTAAATGTATGTGGAAAATATACTATATTCAAGCAAAGTTAAGTTCTGCCAACTATACTTCTTCACATTTTTATCACCTCTGACTCTCTTCTTTCACTCTGCCCTTTAAAACATTTGCATCTCTTTATTATATCTTGTTTGCTAACCTCCTAATTATATGGAACATGTAGCTAATTACATGAACTGATCCCTATCACCACCACTCCTACCTTACAATTTTTAAGATTGACATAGGACGTGGCTACTGGTGTGACACAGTAGGAAGGCAGGACACAGACATGGAGCTTTTCTTGGCAGTCCTTTCCCACATTTAAGTAATTGTGCTCTCTCCATGTTTTCAAGATTCTTCTCACAAGCACAGAAACACAGTATCCTGTGAGTTTGCCTTTTCATTCTTTATGGATAGCATAACACAATAAAAAGTTATGTTTTTATTAAAAATCTTCAAAGTAATTTTTAAACTAAGAATATAATTCAGCCTCATTAGGCTGAAAGCAAATTCTATCCACAGTACATTACTGACCTAACAAATTGAATTAACTTGCACAAAAGTGTTTAATTAACTTTTATCTGAACACAGAACGCTTCACATGTACTATTAAAATCCCCACTTTATTCATACTTCTTTTCTCAGAAACACAAGAGGAAGGTAGGCTGTGCTGATCAATAGACCATGATTTCCTGTCTTTACCTGCTGAAGAAAATGTAATTAATAAAATTTTGCTGAAGAGATATATATGAGCTTCCTTTCCTCAGAAAAGCTATTCTTAAACAGGAAGAACAAAATTATTTCTATTTCCTTTCTACCTTTACTCATCAGAAAAATTTACAGCTAATTCAGGAGTGACCAGATTATTTTTCAGACCTTCCCATTTGAAACCGTGCTAAAGCTGGAAAGCTATGGGAGGCAGTAATTGCACACCCTATTCATTCAAACAGTAAAAAGCCCCTATTTTATCTTCATGCCCTCAACTTTAACTACAATATAAGGTGAAACATTTTACTTGCATATCAATTTATTTATGAAATAAATGAATAGAATGTGATTGTGGTGGATGTTTTTAATGTAAAAATGTTTACGCCAGCAAAATCAAATTTCATAATGTCATATAAATACACACAAGTCACATCTATATGCATATATGTGTACCTATGTATGTATACATGTGTATATGCATGTGTGTGTGCATATATATATATATACACACACATACATGCATGTGTTCATTTAGACGGAATTCCATCTTTTCTTTTTAATACAAAGGGTAACGGAAGAGCTCCTTAGGAGACCGTGTGTTGTAAACAGACATATATTGCTTTCACCGACCCAACACATGCAATGTGAGGTTTCACATAAAGCACGAAGCCACAGCGATGCACAGCTCTTCAGAAACCCTCCTGCATTCTAATTTTAAAGCATTTGTATTTGTCATTTCTGTGAAGGGAAAAGTTAGTTGATCATTTACAGGATTTTACAAGTATGTTACCCACAACTCAATTCTATTTTCCTCTCTGATAAGAAAACTTTCCATAACTTTTCAGCTATACTTGTGAGAAGTGAAAGAAAAGTCTAATTTTCTTTCTCAGTCAGTAGTTTGGTGAACCAAATAGCCATCTGTGCCCAGCAGCCCGAGAAAACTAACTGATGAAATGAAAACTAGTACCTAGTTGGACAGAAATCAGATTCTCTGTTTTCTTTTCAAGGATATGTGATTCTAACCCCCAAGTGGCCCCTACAGCAGTTATACACTCTGGTGACTAGCCCCCCGCTGAGTAAGCCTGGCTTGGGATCTGCTTTTCCTCATGTCACCCGTTCATGGAGGCCCTGTGGTGTGGTGAGAGCGTGTGGACTGTGGACAACTGATGTAGATTTTAGTTCGGTCAAGCTACATAAACTTGGGCCCAACATCTGACTTTTCCAAATTTCAATTTCCTCATTTGTAAAAGGAGAAAGTAATATTTCCTCATGAGATTGTTGTTAGGATTAAATCAGACAATATATATAAAATTCCTAACAGAGAAGGTCTTAACAAATGCTAGTTTCATCCTCTCTCCTTCAAATACAAAGGTAGAAAAGCATGAGATTCTTAGGGATTTAAGCCCCATTTTCATTGTAGGATGTGGTCACAGTGTGACCCAACTTCCTGGTAACATGTCCAACCTCTGATTTCCAAAACCCGTACATATGTCATTGCTAGTTTAACCTGACATTCTCTCACTGTCACATGCTATAATGATATTTGAATATGCTTTTTATTCCTAGCCACCAACTAGGGGAAATTTCTACAGAGGAACTCAGTTCTGCTTTCACTAGATTTGGCGACAAGCATTTAATTGCCAATCTGCAATTGCACTTAAAACAAACTCCCTCCTCTTTCCCATGCCCAGGAAGGCCTGAACATTTCTGGCCTTTGCCTATGTGTGCCACTCTCCTCCTTTCTTTCTCTGATCTGGTCATGCTGGTCTTCTCTCTGTGCTTGGACACCATTCAGTTCTTTTCTTTTGTACTTTTGGTCAAACTCCTTCTTTTGCCTGAAGTGCTCTTCCTATCACTTTTCACATAGCCAGCTCCTTGTCATCCTTAAAGCATCAGCCTCCATCCCACCTCCAGAGAGGGCCTTCTCTAACTAAATACATATGAGTGCTTGATAGTTTTTACTGCCTTGGTTGGTTTGTTTTAATTACCAAGAAGGCAGAGTCCAGGCCTCCTGCTGGCACTAGCATAGAGACTGGCACAGAGAGAGGCTCAGTGTGTGCTGAACGGGTGAATAAACTCAACTCTACAGTTTTGCACGCTTTAGGCCATCTCCTTGGATTAACAAGTATCAGGACCAAAATCTCAGAATTCATATCCTCAAAACCAAAAGGGATTATGGCAAGCAGAATAAATGTTTAACTAAATATTATCAGAAAAAAATCTTGCAAAAAAATTTGAAACTCTATAAACCATTTTAAAAAAATATTTTCTCCTCTATGGAGAAATCCATAAGATACGTCAACATACTGTCCTAATGATGATAATGATCTATTATTGATTTATATAACATTCTTTCCCAAGACTTGAACACCTTTTAACCTAAATTGTTTTACCCTAACAGCTTTCCTATGAAGGAAATCAGCTTACCCTGATTTTATGCATATGGGAAACTATTTGAATTTCCTCTTCTACCAAGTCAGGTCCTGATTCCAGGACTTCTAATGCTGAGCCTGTGAGCTTTCTTGCAAAGCATGCATTGAAATGAAATACA